TTAGCAAACAGCCGACATTTTATGCCCAAAAATAGAAATGATCTGGAAAAGGTTAAGGATTCTGTTGGCTTGTAGTCAAAGTCAAAAGTTATGCAGTATTTACCCTGAGATGGAGACATTCGGATAGCAGTACGAGCAGTAGGTAAATGCCAGTGTTTGCAAAGCCGTTGACAGCTCCCACGTTCGAGAATTGGTTGCAAGCAAACTGATATTGGGTTCGAATCATCGGCACATACCAATACCAATTTTTCATCGAAACGAATGAACAACTGTCAAGAGTTTGATTGTTCTATCAGCGGAGTCAAACCCTTTGCCTACTGCACGAAAATAGTGCTTTGCAGAGCCGTGCGTGCCGGCCAGTTTGTATTGATGGTCTAAATATTCGTCAGTATCTTTTTATCCATTTCACAAATAAGCACATTGAAGGCGTTTCTTCAAAATATCAAAAAATTAAACTTCCCCGTTCTCAAAATCGTAGACCGTGCCATGGCCCCGAACTACTGATAGCATCTTTCAGAAACGGTAACGAACCAGATCAGAATGATTGCGTCCTGCGCAAACGACGATATAACGAGCCACGACGACGCGTGCCTTGCACATACTGACCACCCCAAGAGCGATTGTGATAACGCGAACGGCGTGTGCTTCTCGCATTTCCGAACAGCCGGTCGTAAAGCGTTAGCAACTCATCCAATTCATATTCACCTCTCTCGTAACGCCTTATGTCACTGGCATCCAATAGTCCATAGCTGCGGGCTAATTGCAGTATTTCGTGCCAGGATATACAATAACCCTCGGATGCCGAATCTTCATCACTGGGATGCGCATATTCGCTCAGATTCTCATTATTCACCAGTAGTTCGCGCTGAATTGTCTTTGTTATTAGATTTAGCACATTTGCTGCAAGCGTACTTATGCCTGGCTGTGCTTTTGCCGAACGCTGTTCAGCGTTTTCGTTTAAAATTACAAAACGTGCTCTTGCTTTTGTGAATAAGGGATTGAATTGTATTTCAGAGTCTTCATGTGGCGTTATTGCTGTAAATACATTACACTCTTACACTTACATTTACTTTAGAAAACGCCTCTTTGCTTCCAAAAAAGTTGAATTTTTCTCGTGAGTGGAACTTTTAGACAGCTTAGTGAGAATTAATCCATCACTGGATTTGCTTCTGAAGTTACTCCCGCAAATTTCCGCAATTCCATCACTGGATGGAATTGCGGAAACTTGCGGGAGTAACTTCAGGAGCAAATACGATAGCAAAAGAAAACAGTACTCGTATAAACTATCGTTTTTACTTCACATTTTATTCACATCACCTTTTTATGCGATTTTGCCTGCATGCAAATTACAAAAACGCATATTGCGATGATTTTGTCTGTGCATGTTTGTGTGTGTATGTGTGTGTTCGTCTGTCCGGGTATTTCAACTCGGCAACCAAGCATGTTCCAGCGCCGAGATTTTGCTAATGGGTACCCCGGCCAAGTATCACTCCAGAACCGCGGTATCAACCTCCACGTACGTCTGGGCCTCGCGTACGAGAGGGTGAAAGATTTGGCGGGAAAACTGATAACTCGGGAACGAGAAGCGATAGCTGAAATTTTGAGGTTATATTCCCCGTCCAAATATAACTCAAAGATTTCAAATTCAGCCCCCAGATTTGCGTGGCTCTCGCATACGGACACGTGGAATTTTTTGGCGGGAAAATGGTCAACTCAGGAATTAGCAAAGCCGAGAGGCTGAAATTCTCAGGAAATGTTCTCAGCCCATGTACGATTTAAAGTTATCAAATTCAGCCCTAAGGCACGTGCGGTTCTCACGTAATGCCCCGTGAAATTTTTTGGCGGGAAAATGGCGCTGTGTGCGAGAACTCGCCATATGGCTGAATGGAAACGCCAGAATCAGTCCCTCTACAAACACACAACCGCCGTAACGCTACGGATATCAAAATCACAAGCAAACTGCAAAAGACAAACATCCGATGCCCAACCACTGCACAACTCAGACCGCACCACATGAGCGACCGCACGCCGAGCAGAGCGGTCTCCGTCCCGACAAAAATCGACCACGGTACCTCTAGCAATCACGCGTGCCGGAACAGTTCTACTATTGGGTGGCGGGAGTTTTTTGTTCACTGCATACGGTGATTAATCTGCAATTACAAAAACTCGGCTCGGCTCGTCTCATACACAAGCCGCAAAAAATTTTTCCTCTCGACGGCAGGTAGGGCTGCCTCACGGCGGATGGCGGCAGTTTGAATGTGGCAGGTGGAAGTGGGCCTGGCATATGGCGGGTTTCCTTTGAGGCAGGGGAGTGGGGCTAGGATATGTGGCTATAAGGACTAAATGGCGTAAATTCTTTGCCGATTGACTAAGTAACGTACATTTGAGAGGAGAGGGGAGCGGTAAAAAAGGGAAAGGATGAGGAACTGTGCTCCTGGGACTTCTGTTTTTATGAAACTGATGCTTAGATAAAGCTGAGAGCGAATAAGTTCCATGAGATGGGCAAAAACAGGGTAGAATGGATGCCTGGGGATGAAGTCAGCCTTTGCTCTTGTGGGATTTTTGGAACAAAAAAACAAAGGTATTACTGTTATGCACAGTTGCAGGCTGCAAGGGGCAACACTTTGGAATTGTCTGCAATTCTTGTGTAATCCAGTTGGACCTATTTGCCCTCAGCTTCACCTAAGCATAAGCTTCAGTAAATCCTGTCGAACTTATTTGCCCTCAGCTTCACCCAAGCATAAATTTCAGCAAATCCTGTCAACTTTATTCCATCCCATTGTCCAGGTCTCAACCGTGCCCTCTGAGCTGTATCTAGGCAACTACCAACCAGTGCTCCCAACCACGTCCAATCCTCCCACCCCATCACTCCCCAGCCACTTGATCCAGCCTCCAGGCACTGGGCAGCGCTACCAACCGCGTTTAGCAAAGTTCTAGCGAGCGGCGCCACGAAATGGCGTTGGTAGCGATGATAGAGTAAAGCGTTGGAAGGCCAAAACACCACAGATCACCAGCCGAGCCGAGTCGTGCGGAGCCGGACCGAGCTTTTGTATAGTGATTGTCGGTTAATCTTAAAATTGAGCTGTTAAATTTAACATTAATTCTGCTCTGTTTTCCTTTTTTATGCGTTTTTGCTTATGTGCAAGTTGCGAAAACGCATATTGCTACGACCCTGTCTGTGTGCATGTATGTGTTTATGCTTGTGTGTGTATGTGTATGTGTGTGTGTGAGTGTGTGTGCGTGTGTGTGTTCATCTGTTCGAGTATTTCAACTCGGCAACCAAGCAAACTCCGGCGCCAAAGTTTTGTTAGTAGGTTCCCCGGCCAAATGCCATCCGAGAACCGCGGCACCAACTCTTACTTAAGTCTGGGCCCCGCGTACGGAAGGGTGAAATTTTGGCGGGAAAGTTGCTAACTTAGGAACGGGAAAAGTTAGAAAGTTGTAATTTTGAGACTATGTTCTCCGTCCAAATGAAATTCAAAGATTTCAAATTCAGCCCCCCCGCGTACAGCCCCGCAAAGGTTCCTGACGCGAAAATCGCTAACTTGGGAAGCAGAAAGTTTGGGAGGCTAAAATTTTCTAGGAATGTTCCTAGCCTGCATACAACTTTAGAATTTTAAACCCACCCCACAGGCTCCCAGGTCATGTGCGCCCCTGTCAAAGTTTTGGCGAGACAATTGCTAAATCGGAAACAAGAAAAGTTGGAAAACTGAGATTTTAGGAGAGTATTCCCCGTCCAAATTCAGACTCCATGTACGCGTGGTTCTCGTGTGCGGGCACTTAAATTTTTGACGGGAAAATTACTCACTGAAGAACTGAGTCATTTTCAAAAAACGACCACTAAATGAAAATTGTTTATTTTCTTTTATGCAAAATTTACGATGCTTTACGGTATTGAGCCCACAAGGTGGATGTGAAGAAATAACCATTAATGTAGTTAACCTAATTACCTTGGGTTTGGGGCAAAAACGCATGACCGCACCGACTCGCCTGGTGCGTTCCAGCCTGGTTTCATATAAAAGCAGCTTCAAACGCGTATAGCTTTCTCTGTGCGAAGAAAACCTTCAGTTAAACTCAAAAAAAGTGAGCTTTTTATAAAGAACTTTAAACAGGCTCTGCCCCTCATAGATGGTCTAAAACTGACAACTTTCGGTGCGCAACAGGCATTAATAAAATTTCGTGACGCCCAAGTGTGTGCCTAATTGCCTTATTCTGAGAAAACCAGCCCTGCAGCCGTCATACTGACGACGTCTTATAGCGTTGACTTGAGTTAAAGAATCATATGACTTAATGGACTGGAACGTCTTACCTCACTCTTTCCTTCTGATCATATCTTTGACTGTAATCTTTCAGTTTTTACCATTTAAGTATCCAGGACTGACCTGGCTGCCGCAATGTAATCATTAAGCTGCGAGACGAATTTTTTTTCCAGAATTAACAGCAGGATAACCACCGTCAAGCAAACAATAATTGGCCAACGCACGGGCTGCCTGTGCAAAGATGCGTTTTTTCCATAGTTCTCCACAGTTTTTGTTGCTACCGGCACCGGCTTTTTCGGCAAATGCTTCTAGCTAAACAAATTAAGACTGGCACCAGAACTGTCAGGAAGCACCCCCTTAAAATTTCAGCTTTCAAGCTTCCCTGGCTCCTGAGTTAGCAACTTACTGGGAAAAAATTTTCACGGCCCCGTGCGTGTTTGCCACGCAGGGAAAAAATTTTCACGGCCCCGTGCGTGTTTGCCACGCATACCCGAGAGATGGGTTTGAGATGAATGAAACTTAAGTGGACGCGATATATTCTCTAAAAATTACAGTCCTTCAGCTTCTTAGTTACTCGAGTTATCAAGTTACCCCGAAAAAAATTTGGCGGTCCCGTATGCGGGTATCACTCTTATTCGAGAGCTGGGTTTGAGCTCACTAATACCCGCTTGGACGGGGAACATCACCCTAAGATTTCAGCTTTCTAGCTTCTCAGATCCCCGAGTTATGAAATCACCCGAAAAAAATTTTGGCGGGTACCAAACTTACCCGAGGGCTGGGTTTGAGCTCATTAATACAAACTTGGACGGGGAACATTCCCTCAAAATTTCAGTTTTCTGGCATCTTAGATCCCCGAGTTATGAACTTACCCGAAAAAAATCTTGGCGGGCTTGTACGCGGTTACCACGCTTACTCGAGGGATGGATTTCAGTGCATAAAGCCTACTTGGACGAGGAACATCCCCATAAGATTTCAGCGTTCTAGCTTCTCAGATCCTCGAGTTATGAACTTACCCGAAAAAAATTTTGACGGGCCCGTGCGCGGGTACCACACTTACCCGGAGGATGGGTTTCAGTGCATTAACATCTACTTGGTCGGAGAACAACCCCCTAAGATTTTAGCGTTCTTGCTTATCAGATCCCCGAGTTATGAACTTACTCCAGAAAAACTTTGGCGAGCCCGTACGCGGGTACCACACGGGTTTTAGTGCCCATTATGGGGACTGAGGCCGGCACGTGCATGTAGATTAAGTTCTCGAAACTTCAGCCCCGCAGCTTTTATAGGTCTTGAGA